GCTGGCCATGACCCCAGAGCACCCCCACCGCTGGCCCCAATGACCACGACAGAGGCAGGCCCTAGCCCTCCTGCCGACCTGACAACCCAGCTCCTTTCTTCCCAAGGACGTTAGGGGGAACGAACACAAGACTTAGCTATTTCTCTTTTTGGTTTTCCTTGGTTTTTTTTTCTTTTTGCTTTTTCCCCTCTCTCAAAAGGCGGTACTGATTGGCTGTTTTTCATCTTTGATGTTGCAGGCTAGCCTCTGCCGAGGAGGGTACAGCCGCTTCACCCCCTACTAGCAAGAGACCCAGCCCCTAACAGCATTCACACTGACTGCCTCTCACAAACCACACCCAACAGCCCAAAACCAGGCACAGCCACCAGGAAGACAGTGCACCCCTCCCGGCCAGCGACACGCGCGGCTGGCCCTCTGCGACTCTAAAGTCTGTAGTTTTCCTCTCCAGCCAGCTGGTCTCCCCACCCCACCGGTGCTGGTGTGTGTGTCTTTGACCCTGGTTTTTCCTGTATGTCTGAAACCGTGATTTCCTACTTTGTGTTTGTTGATGTTGTACTGCCCCAGCCATGCAGGTACGGTACGCACACCACGGGGTCCAGGCTGGGCCAGGAGACCAGGCCGCCCCCGAGCCCGGAGGGGCAGTAGCGCCCTGTGAGGGCAAGAGCCTCGTGTCCTGGCCTGCCAGGCTGCACAGAGTGGCAGAAACGCCCGGCAGGGCCTCCCCCAGAGCCACCCAGCCAGCCCCATGCCACAGCCCTAGTGTGTGGCACCCTGACGCAGGGAGGGAGGGGCTCCAGGCGCCCAGTGTGGGTCCCTGGCTGAGGGTGCTCCTGCCAGCCTCCACCCAGCCAACCACAGGACTAGCTGTCGCTCCTCCTTGCCCCATCGGCTGAAACTAATATTTTTAATTAAATTTTATTGACGATAATCCTTGCCGACGTAGTCACAAGCATGTCGCATGGTGTGCGAACTGCTGTGGTCACACCGGTCTCCGCGACTCCTTAGCACTGCTGCTGCGAGAAACGGCAATGTGGAAAGGCGTGTCCCGGTCTCTCATCAGGGCACCCCTTAGCACCACAGGGTGGAAGCCAGGCCAGACTTGCTCGGGGCGGGGGCAGGAGTGTACAGCCTACTGGAGGTACAGCCTACTCTTCCTGTCCCCAGTCCCCGAAATGTCTTTATTGGGGTACATTCCAGAAGGAAGAGGGCAGATGGGCCCTTGCTTAGGCCCTCCCTGCGTTAGGGGGACTGTAGGCAGGGAGGGCCCTGTGGCCCACGGGACACCCCCTCCCCAGCCCTAGGACTGGCCAGCCTGGCGCATGGCGCTTCTGGGGAGACACTGGCTGCGACTTCAGCCAAGCACAGCCCCGGGCAGCCGCTGGTCCGCCTGGGAAAAGCCAGCCAAGACAGGCACAGTCCTTTCCTGGGGCTGGCCTGGGGCACTCAGATCTGAACCTCCATGACAGAGAAAAGTAGCTTCAGGCTCCGAGTGTGCCACAGCCGGGCTCCTGGGACAGGAAGGCCAGCTGGAGGGGTAGGTTCCCCACCAGCCAGGGCTGAGTTCCTGCCGCCCACCGGGCCCTTGCCGTGGGGAGCCCGGCTCTCCACCTCCCGTGGCCAGACCCTCACTGCCGCTGTCCCACCCGGGCTGCCTCGGGGCCTGCACTGGCCCAGCCTCTCCCCTCGCCCTGTCCTGCCCACCTCTGTCTCCTCCCATCCCGGGCTGCCTGGGCCCCATCCTGGCGTCCACCCACACTCAGCCCTGAAAGATGAGGGTCCCGGAAGCTGGGGGGCAGTTGTGGGGGCGCCAGCACTTCAGGCCAGGGGCCCCATGCCATGCGGCCTGCCGCGCCTGCCCCTGAGATGCTGCAAGTCCTGCCTTTCTGTTTCTGTTGTAGTGAAACCTTCCAGCGTTTCCTTCTCGGACCATAAAGGGCAAAAACAAAACAAAAAAACAAAAAACAAAAAAAAATCACAAAACAAAAAAAAAAAAACAAAAAAAGATGTTAAGATCCAAGCAACAAGAAAACCAACCAAACCAAGAGGCATCCAACCAAGTCCACGTCCCGCGTCCCGGCCACACGCCCGCACCGAGGGAGCGCGCCGGCAGGGGCACTGAGGAGCCCGGGACAGGACGGCCCCGCCTCGTCGCTCGTCCCCGCCCTGGCTGGCAGCACAGTGGGGACGCCCCCCTCCATCTCAGGCAGTGGGGAAGTTGGAGGAGAAGGGGCCTCCCTTGCGGGGCCTGTGGGGGGCTCTGTTTTCAATCCGGTCTTCCTTTCCCAGCCCCCTACTCCCAAGGCAGTGTGGGGCTCAGCAGCACGGAGCAGGCCCGGGCCTGAGCAGGGAGGCACTGGAACAAGACTTACCTTTGTGCCCAGCTGTGCCGGGGCGGGGCCGGCGGGGCTGGGGGTGCGGGCGGCTTTCATCCCAGGGGCTAACTGGGCCCCATCACCCTTGTGTCGCATCCTCTGCGTCCCACCTCCCTCGTGCCCGGCAGTCCCGCCCGTGCCCCCGGCCTGGCAAGGAAGCCATCCGACAGCAGCCCAGAGCCGACTCCAACAGAAAGGGCTGACCTGGCTCCAGGACTCAGGGGCACCCCAGTGGAGAACGAAGGAACCCCGGCCAGCCAGGAGCCACTCCTCACACTGCCGAGCGTGGCCAGGCAGGCCCTGAGGCCGAGGACATGCTGCTTCTGGCTGTCACTCGCTTTCTGGAGGAGGCCCAGGGCCTGTGCACACCAAGTCTGACCTCGTGCTGCCTGCTGGGACCCGGCCCTCCCTGCCGTGCCCCTGCGAGCCCAGTCCCACCAGGGGCACCCAGGGATGGGCCAGCGCCCGGCCGCACCACAAGGTTAGGAGTCACAGTGGCCGTGGGCCTGGACGGACACAGAGCAGAGGCCCACGGGAAGGGCAGGGCGTGGGGGAGCCTGAGCCCACCCCTCAGGTGTCCAGGTGGCAGGAGCAGCACCAAGGACAGCCAAGCTCTCGGGCAGGCAGAGCAGGAGTAGAGCAGGTGGCAGGGAGGAGCCCCTCTCGAGGTAGGGAGCACTGAGGCAAGCAGCAGAAACTCCAGGCTCCCGACGCAGCTCCGCTGTCTCATGAAACGTCAAAAATTTAAGAATACACCTCACTTTCTATTCAGCATCAGCTACTGAAGCTCTCGAAATGGAATTCTCCTTTTCTATTCCCGTTGTACATAGCTCCCCGCCCTGCCTCTGGCTTTGTCCTCTGTACAGAGCCCCGGTCCCTCTGCTGTTCCGGACCCTTCTCCTGCAGCAGCTCACCCCCCGGCCCAGATCCCCAGGACTGCAGCCGAGCCCCGGGCTTCCTTTCTTACCATTCTGTATGCTTCCAAGGTGTGACCATTCAAATTAACAGTATTATTATTAAGATTATTAATAAAGATTTCTTTCTTCCAACAAGGACAACTCTGTATGCTCTGGCAGCTCCCGGGCCCGGTGGGTGGAGGGCATAGCGGCCCAAGGTGCAGGATTGGGGCCAGGATGGGACGCAGCCCTGCCTTGGTCTGTAGCCAGGTGGCAGTGGCATCAGAAGGCCCTTCTAGGCAAGAGACTTTCCAGTCCCAGTCCTCGAGTCCATGTGGGTCCTCTGCATCCCACCCCAGGATGGGCTGAGTGGTGGCAGCTCATGGTGGCTTTGTGTTACCTGGCCTGCCTCAGTCCCTTCTTTCCTGGGCACACCACACACTGGGCACAGCATGACCTCACAGAGCAGAATGCACCTCAGGAGGCTGGGTGTGGTGGCTCACGCCTGTAATCCCAGCACTTTGGGAAGCCAAGGCAGGCGGATCACCTAAGGCCAGTTCAGGAATAGCTTGGCCAACATGGTGAAACCCTGTCTCTACTAAAAATAAAATATTAGCCACCTGTGGTGGTGCATGCCTGTAGTCCCAGCTACCTGGGAGGCTGAAGCAGGAGAATCACTTGAACCTGGGAGGCAGAGACTGCAGTGAGGTAAGCATGCCACTGCACTCCTGCCTGGGCAACAGAGCAAGACTGTCCCTCCCCCTCGCCAAAAAAAAAAAAAAAAAAACAAAAAACCCAGGAGGCAGAAGGGTTAGACCTGGGGGGTCACACAGCTGTGCTTGGTCGATCCAATGCCAGAGCGAGCACGGACCTGGAGGGTGGGGGGACATGGTACAGAGGCACACGTGGCTGGTGCCCCAGCTGGTTCTGCACCCCGGTCTAGCCCGAGCTGGGGCCCATGAGGAGCTGTGTTGCTTCAAGGTGAACCCACAAGAGCTAGAGCACAGCTGCAAAGGGTCGGCTGAAGACGGGACGGAAAGTTGAGTGGCAGAACCTGAACCCGGAGCTCAGACGCCTAAGGCTGGCAGGGGCTGGAGCTGGACAGGGAGCCAGCGTCCGAGGCTGGGCTGGCGCTGCCCTCGCCCATCATACCAGGACTCCAGCGTTTTTCACAGTGTCGGATCGTTTATTTCAGAGCAGTTACAGCCGGCAGAGGGACACAGGCTTACACGCCAGCATGTTAATTCTCCCGCACGCGAGCCCTGCACGGCGGTGGGGCTGGGGAGCCAGGGCGGTGTGTTTCTGCCACACGCCACGCTCTGCTAAGCCCCCTTACTCCTAATTGCTTGCTCACCAGACTGTGAGAAAATAATTGCCATTATAAATTTTCCCTTCTCTGCATAAAATATTCAGAGAAACCAGCACTTAAAAGACTTCATGAAGGAAGGGCAGCATGCATGCTGCACACCCCCACCGCCGCAGAGGACACGGAGAGGCCAGGAGCCCCTCCCCAGATCCCCCTGGTTCCAGACGGGAAAGAGAGGCTCAAAGGGTTCCCAGGAACCGCCACAGCCGAAAAAAGTCGAGTCAGCTCGTGTTCACCTGCCCTCCACCCAGGACAGCGCCCGGTGGTTTCAGGCCACAGGGGGTCAGCAGAGGGACCCTCCTGCCCCACATCCTTGGCAAACGCTTCTCCTGGGACCACGCGTGAGACATGGAAGAATGTTCCAAATTAGACAAAAGCCCAGACCTTTAATCCTAGGGCCTTGTGCTTGGCACGAGTACCCAGGCAGGCAGGGAGGATGGAGAAAGAGGTGGATTTCAGCCACTGGAAGGAGCCCCAGCTCAGAGCGGCTGCTGGGCACCAGCCTTGCCCTCCTCCTCCGCATGCGGGAGCAGGTGTGACTGGGCTGCCACCTGGTGGCCTCTGTCCTCACTGCAGGGCGAAATGATGGGGATGCCAGCCCTTAGGTGTGGGCTCTGGCTGGGGTCACAGGGCATCCCAGCCCTCAGCACTGCCCAACATCAAGGGGACCCCCACCGCCAGCCCTATGTGGCCTGGGGGTGAGACCTCCCCCAAAAGCGAGGGACTTCAGGCCACTGACTCCATGGAAGAACCACAACAGACGCCACCCAGACCAGCCACAGGATGACCCAAGGCCGTGGGGCCTAGAGACCATACCAGGAAGCCTCCTGGGCAGCCTAGCAGAGGCCTGGGCAGAGGGGAGGCAGCTAGAGAAGAGCCAGAAGGACAGAAGGCAGCCTGCGGTGAGGACCCCGCCCACGGCGAGGACCCGGCCTCCCTCACACCCCACGCACCCGTGCTGCCTCTGCTCAAGGGTAAGCCCGGAGGTCTCCCTGGTGCTTGGGTGAGGCTGAGAAGGGAGGAGGTGACGGAACAGAATAGGTGGAAAAGATCCCATGTCTCCTGCAGCTCCTTCGTGCAGGAGGAGGCTGGGCTGGCGTGGGGAGCAGACGCTACTCCCGGCCTGGCCTGACCTGCGACCTGAGCCTAAGGGCAGCTTGTCCAGAGCCCACGGCGTCTCGCTGGGCAGAGGCAGGGCCGCAGTGCAGACTGCCTCAGGGCCACTTCCCAGCACCCCCACAGCCCAGAAGGGACACAGCAGGGCCAGGGGCTGGTGAGAACGCTGCAGAGATGACCTCACGCTCAGCAGCACAGTAAATTGCCAACGCCAGGGAACACACAGCAGCGGGGCTGGCCCGCAGTGCCCACTCCTCAGGGGAAACGGGCCTTTCCCACCAGGAGGCGGGGTCTCCAGGGCGTCCTCTCCCGACACCTGCTGGCAGCCCCACCCTGGGACCCCCTGTAGCTCGTCCTCATCCTCAGGAACATCTTGGGGCCCACCCCAAAGCCTGCCTGCACAATCTAAGCATAAACCTTTCTCATAGTTTCATCTGCAGGAAAAAAAAATCATTCTCAGCCTCAGCATCTTGTAGCCTATTAGGAAGCACCCTTTATGGAATTTTCTGTCCTAAACATCCTCCCCCTTTTCATGTTCACATGGGAACCATGTACCGTGGGGAGGGGGCTAGGCAGAAACAGGGCCCGCCACTCACCTCGCAATGACCAACGCTGCAATCCCACCGCTTGGTGTCCTGTCAACAACGCCCCCCCCCGCCCCTGCCAAAAAGCCACAGCACTCAGCCCGGGGTCTTCCGCCCCAGCCCCGGGACCTGGGTCTCACTGCCACTGCCGGCACTTAGCAGTCCCAGCGCAGGCTGGGGCCAGATGGCCGGGAAGAGGCCTCAGCCCGAGGCCAGACCACCAGGCTTTAGCATCCACTCACTCGGGGGCCGAGTAGAGCAGAGCCGCCCGGCCCCACTCGGCCTGAGGCACCCGGAACCCTTCCTTGGGGACAGGCTCCACCAGAAACCCAATGCGACAATCCTGGCCGGGCCCGGCGGCATCCACCAGCAGGTCCACTACCCGGTACTGGGTGGCAAAAGCCAACCCCAGGAACGTGGGCCTCTCTGGCGTCGGCGGCGGAGAGCCATCGCCTGTCCCTCTGCAGCAGTGGATCCGGAAGCAGCGGACTTGTGGCAGGAGGAAGGACCAGTGCAGGGTGCAGCTGAGCTGGAGCAGAGCCGGGGGTCCCTCCCACTCCGAGGCGGCCGGCTGCCAGCGGACGTGAGAGACAGTGACGGCCTGCACCTGAGGCAGTGGGGCCAGCAGGCTGGCAGCATCCACCACCTGGCAGGAGAAAAGGCTCGGCATGGCTGGAAGCCAGGGGGCTGGGAGAGGGCGCCCCCACCCACACACTTCCCCTCTCTGACTCCCCCGCCCCAGTTCCCCACTGAACCCAAGAAGGGAGCAGCCTGGGGCAGCCTCCACCCCCACTCAGCTGGACAAACGGCCAGTCCAGCCCGAGCCCCTCTGGGAAGTGTCACCTGGATCTCTCCAAGGCGACAGGTGAAGCTCTCCTCCTCCCGGCTACCCGGTGGCCGTGTGAAGCAAACGAAGAGGTCCCGCAAGAGGCACTCACGGAGGCTCACCTCGTAGCAGCTGCAGGGGCCAAAGGGCTGATCACAGGCCAGGCTCAGCCCAGGGTGAGCCGGCCCAGAGACCCCAAGCCACAGCAGAAGGGGGATCCGTCCCAGGGGCAGCGGGGACCCCGGGCCGACAGCAGGGCTCCCAGCAGCTGTCCTGGGCTTATGTCTCAGAGCTGCCCAAAACCGGGGGCCAGCCCAGGGCCCCTCCATCCCCCCAGCTCTGGGGTTTCCAACAGAGACTTGAGTGAAGGAGGGGGACTTACTGCTGGACCCAGCCCCCGCTCAGCTGCCGGCCGCAGCGGCCCACCCATCTGGCCAGCTTGGTGGGAGGTACCCGGAGGGGTCGGAGGCTGTGCCTTGAGCTTGTTTCTGCTGGAGGAGGAGACATGGGACTTGAAAAAGAAGAATCTCAAAGGAAAAGGCGCTGGGAGGGACCACCGAGGGAGCCCCTGGAGTCCAGAAAAGACCCCCCGTGACGCCAGATGCTCACAGGTACTGAGAAGCGACCAGGCAGAGCTGCAGAGGAGCTCAGCAAACGAAATGCGTGTCTGGATCAGCCACGCTCTCACCCGTCCTGGCTTCCTCCAGCCTGCTGTCTCCCCACCCCGTCTCCTCGCCCCTCTCCACACCTCGGCCAGCAGCAAGGCTGTGTGCAGCTCAGGTCTCCAGGAGGGGCCACTGTCTACCCTGCACACATGCCTCAGCGGCCCAGCGAGGCCACAGGGCAGAGGCTGCGGCTGAGAAGTGAATCTTCCCTGTCCAGGCCTTGACCACAGCTGCCCTGACTCTAGCAAAGGCAGGGTGTACCCTCCACTGTCCACACCAGCTCCTCCCCACTCTCCATGAGCCTTTCCACACCTCTGTCCCCTGAGCTCTCCCCGCGCAGAGGCAGGCCTGGGCCCCCATCGCCTCACCATTCAACACTGAGATGCCACTGATGTGACAGCTGCCAGCATCCCCCGTGGTCAGCTCCAAAGCAACCGTGACATCCGTAGGCCCTTCAAGCTTGTATACCATGGACAGGAAAATTTTGGGGGGCACGGGGACCTGCAGGGAAAATAACCTGGGGGAGAAAGGTCCTGTGCTAAGTGCCACAGAGAAATCATTGAGAAATAGAAGCCAGCTCCAAATCACGTCCGACAGCCCCTCCCTTGGGGAACGGGGCGCCTGAGCAGCAAACACTCCCACAGAGTGGTCCTATCCATGGCCAGGGACAAGCCCTCCCCAAGGCCAGATTCTTTTTGTGGGCTGAAACATCTCAATTCTGAAATACTATAGGATTCCCTCATATGGGGCATCTAAAGTATCCAAACTCACAGATGCAGAGTGGAGGGTGGCTTTGAGGGGCTGGGGGAAGATGGGGGGCTAATGAGCAACGGGGAGAGTCCAGTCCTACAAGGTGACACAGCTCTAGGGATCTGTCCGCCAGCCATTCATTTCAACATGGTGAACCTGGTACATTTCATGTGAATGCACTTCTGACCACAATTTGAAAAAACCAATCTGGGTCTGTCCTCTGTCCTTGTTCTGACCTCCACTGCCCCATCCGCCCAGTTCCACAGCCACCACGTGTGACAGGAGAAGCTGGTGGGCCCCCACGTCCCCCGTCACTCACCCACCTCACAGCCACATTTCCAGCCTCCGACGGGATCACACCCCGGATGAGCAGGGAGCTGCCCCCGTGCCAGGCGTCCTCCAGGCAGCAGTGCGTCCTCACCCAGCCCCGGCCATCCCCTCCCAGCCTGTGTTCTCCAAACAAAGGCTGCATCTCCTGAGCGCTCAGGTGGTACCAGGGCCCCACCGTCTCCTCCTGAAGAAAAGGGCAGAACGGGGGCACTCAGCAGAGGCCAGCAGAGCAGATGTGCCTGGAGCAGCAGGGAGGGGCAGACCACCACCATGCCTTTGAGCAAGCCCCAGGCTCCTCCCACCTGTCCCAGCTGAGGCCGGAAGACAGACACAATGGAAGGCGTACACCCACCTGGCCGTAGCAGACCCTCCGTGCACCCATGCCCAGGCAGAAGGATGTGACGAAAGGCAAAGAGCAGATGCTATGTGTGGGCAGATAACGCTCCAGCCGGCCCCAGAACCTGCCAGAGACATGGGGGCAACAGCCCGGTCCTGAGGAACGGAGGGAGCCTCCCAGTGTCCCTCGAACTTGCTGGTGGAAACTCGAGGCTCTCCTGCACCCTCCGAGACAGGACTTCCGGGAGGACTGCAGCCTCCCCGGCTACGGAGATGTTGGACACACGTCTGCAGGAAGCGGTCGCTGGGTTTGGTCTCTACCCGGAAGCAGCCAGCGTGGTAGGTTTCTTCTCCCTTCATCCTCCTTTAACCGCCCCCCCCCAGGGAGGGTCACTAAAGAGCACGAACATGTCTTATCAGAGAAACCAGGGACCCTTCCCACCCATCAGCCTGCACTAAGCACCCAGGATGGCAGGACTCACTTGTCCTGGTTCTGGAAGAAATGCTCCTTCTCCAGACACTCGTACACCCAGCCAGGAGCAAACAGAGCCACAGAGAAGCCATGCTTCCGGATCAGCTCCAACGACTGAGGAGACAGACATCAGGGAGACACTGGGCACGTCAGAACCACAGAGCCCAGACAGGCTCCTGGACGCCGGTGACGGGGGTAGGGGCTTTCAGGCAGCTGGGAAACAGGAGAGGGAAGCTGTCTGACCCCTCCTTCCTAACTGCACGTGGGGGCTGCAGGGCGTCACCCCCGTCATTCCACAAGCCAGCCAGCAGAGGGGGTGGGAGAGGTGGCCAGGCGGTCAGCGCTGCTGCATGGGCAGGAGGAGCTAACGGGCTGTGACCATGGTCCTCTCGCCCTCTGGTACACCTCTCATTCCATTATCAGAATCCCGGGCAGCAAAGAGGCTCTCCTGTTACTGGATTAATTTACTCATCCAAAGCTAAATTAATGGCTGACAACATCCCTGGGGCTCTGGGAAGGGGCAGGACTGACAGGCCAGAGGCAGGCAGAGCCCTGCGCATCCCACGCCAGGGGCACCAGCCCGGCCCCGCTCCTTCCTCCATGCTGGCATGACCTGCCTTGCCAGAAAATGCTCCCTCGTCATGACACCTGCTGCTCCCCAAACCCTGGGCGCTTCCCCTGTCCTCACCCCTGAGCCTCTTGAGAGGTGCAGCAGGCCCCTCCAACACCACCCGGGCTTCCCTGGAGGGGAGGTCAAGGAATGCAGCAGGGACAGGAGGCTTAGGCCCATGAAGACCAGACAGCAGGGCACAGGGTGCCTCTGTCCAGTAACACCCACGCAAATACACACCAGCCAACTGTAGAAATGGCCGGGAAGGGGTTTCAGTGGGGACACAGCTTGGCCAGACAGGACACCCTGTTTCTCAATGCCACAGGGTCCCTGCTCCGGAAAGAACAGCTGCTGTAGTCCCTTTGAGATGAAGATGGGAACGGAAGGTCCGTGAGGAAATGAGGTCCCAGGGGAGGCACTGGGCCATGGCCCTGGGCAAAGGGGACCACCCACCTTGTCTGTATCAAATCGGCCTCCGACCACGTTCCCCCGAGCAAACACGTCCACGCCCACATACACGTCGGCCCGGCGCTCCCCTGCCTGCCCCAGCATCCGCTCCAGGTGCTCCTCCTGCCAGTTATAGTTGGTGAAGAAGCCGTCACAGGAATCAAAGAAGACCCTGAGGGACAAGGACCTGCTGTGAGGCCCAGAGGGACAGGGCCACCACCCCACCCCACACAGTCTCAGCCTTCCCCCTCCTAGAGCCCAGAGGCACCTGCAGTTCACAGGCTGGGAGCTGCCTCCAGGACCTAAGACACAGCCTGGTCCCCAAGGGCAGGGAGCAGCCCCAGATGGTGACCTGAAACCCTCGCCCAGCATCCATGATGTCTGCTGAGGCTCAGAATATTAAGAGAACTCTTTGCCTTCTCTGCGTTTTTCCCCAATGCAGTCATATATGCGCTGCCTCCGTGAGAGAGACTGCGCCTGCCCCTCATGGCACGTGGCACCCGCCCCTGGAGGCACCGCCCCTCACAGCCCCGTCTGCAGGCTTGCCTGTTGTGCTGGTTGAGTTCATTCTGCCATTTGAGCTGCCCGCTCTGCACCACACTGTCATACCACAGCACCAGGCCCCCCGGGACCTGCTGGTGCAGCTGCGTGGTCAGGTACCGCAGGAAAGGAGGCATGTTCCCCACGGTGGCCAGCTGAAAGAGACAAAGGAGGTGAGAGCGTCGGTGAGCCCCAGATCCGTCTAACTGGAGAAGTATCTGGCGCCGGACAGACAAGGACGCAGAGCAGACGCATCCACAGGAGAAGCCGCAGTCCAGAAAGGCCTTCCCCGCCACGGCCTCGAACGTGGAGTCCAGCCAAACAGACGACTGTCCTTTCTTATTGCGGCAAGAGGGACACGAACGCAGAAGTCAGGAAAAGAGAGAGCACAGAAAGGGAGGGAGCCCAGAGAAGGAAGCCACGCACCCAGCCCCAGCTGCCAGAGGAGGAGCGGGAAAGGCGAGCCAGCCCAGGAGGTCGGAGGAGAGTCCGTCTCACTACGAGTAACTAAGATTTCAGAGTGGGCGCTGCCGCCACCTGCAGCCCAGGTATGGGGTGAGGTAAGGCCAAGGAAGGAAAGAGGTGGAGGTGGGCAGCGAAACAGCAGGGGGCAGGGGGTGGGCGCGGGCCGGGCGCTCACACTCAGTGGGTTCTCGATGTTGATCAGCCAGCCATCGAAACGAAAAAACTGAGCGATCTGGACCAGCTGGTTGGCCACTGCCTGGTATGAGCGCTCGTTCCCGGCCAGAAAGGCTTCACAGAGCCTCGCCCCTTCATTCCACTCCGTGATGAACGTCCCTGTGAGGACAGCAGAGAAACAAGGTCGGCCGCGGGAATCGCTTTCCCTCCGCCCGTTTTCAAAGTGAGGTTCCCGAACCGGCAGCCTCAGTATCACCTGACCACTTGGTAGACATTCAAATCCCCATATAGCTAGTGAATCAGACGCTGCCAACGGGGACCAGCAGTCGTGGTGACGGAGGGCCATACACAATGAGGACTGAGGCCACAGCCTCCACAGCACTGTTCTAACCCCAGGAATCGGCAGACCGTGGCCCTGGGGCCCATGCCTGCTACCACCCGTGTGTGTAAATACAATTTTATTGGACACAGCCCCGCCTATTTGTTTAGCCGCTGTCACTCTAATAATCACCACAGTGACCCAATGGTCTGAAATGCTGAAAACACTGTCTGATCCTTTCCAGAAAAAACCTGCAGGTGCATGTCCTGACCGACCGAGGCGGCCCTCAGCGAGGGGCTCTGTGCACTGAGAAGCAGACAAAGCCCGAGCCTCCTAATCACCGGGTCCCCCGGCGGGTGAGCTGAGTCTGCCTGAGACGGAGGTGAGTGCCTAGCTCTTACCCAGCACACAGACCCCCTGCCTGTGGGCAGCGTTGGTCCAGCCCGCCGGGGGGATGGTGACTGCGTGGTGGCTGAAGTACACAAAGACATCGACGTGCTGCCAGTGGTAGAAGGCATAGGGAGTCTGTGCCGCCGAGCCCTGAATGAACCTGGGGAAAGAAACAGCATGGGGCTGGCCGCGGCGGCTCAGGCCTGTATTCCCAGCACTTTGGGAGGCCAAGGTGGGAGGATCACTTGAGCCCAGGGGTTTAAGACCAGCCTGGGCAACATGGCAAAAAACCACCTCTCCCCCTAAAAGTGAAAAAACTTGCCAGGTGTGGTGGCGCGCACCTGTAGTCCCAGCTACTTGGGAGGCTGAAGTGGGAGAACCACTTGAGCCCAGGAGGTCAAGGCTGCATTGAGCCCAGATCGCACCACTGCACTCCAGCCTGGGTGACAGAGTAACACCCTGTCTCAAAAAAAAAAAAAAAAAGAAAAAAAAAAATAAGAGTCGGGTCCCAGGAAACAGAATAAGGACACAGAGACCACAGGGGGTCCCCAAAGGTTTCTCCTTAGTTCCATTCAGTCAAGACTCCTGGAAGCCCGCCATGTCCAGGCACGGTGCAGCCAGGGAGAGAGGCAGGAGCCAGCTGCCATTGCTGCAGCCGAAGACAAAGCGCTCTGACCAGAGCATTAGGCATTTGCCATCGAATCTGATGGACGGAGCATCGCCACTCGCTATGAGCAGATGAACAAAGGAGAGAAGGGAAGGGAAGCAGAAAGGCTCATGTCAAAGTCCAGTCTCTGCTTGCCCCTTCTATGCAGAAGGGCAGGCAGTCCCTCAGGACACAGTCTCCTGGAATTCAAAGGCTGGGGCTGACAGCAGGGTGAGCTGTGCCCAAGGTTTCATCATCTGCCTCTGTCTCTACCTTGATGGCTGGCTCGGACTCAAGCCTTCCCGTCAATTACAGGGTCCAAGATTGTTTTATGGACATGTAAAAGCGCCACATGGACTCCTTGGTAGCTTTGGATGGGACATCTGCAGCTGGGGCGTGTGACATCTCTGTGCATCAAAGCCAGAGCCCAGCGACCCAGAACAGGATCAGAGCTCAAGCAGAGACAAACGCCAAAGTGCGTGAGGATTCGAGGGTGGGGGCCGGCAGCCGAAGGGGACCCCTGCCTGCTGTGCCCCCTCCAGTCTACCAGACTGCAGGTCAAGGAGCTTCAAGGAGTCAAAAGGGACATAAGACATTGCCTAAGCCAGTCTCCCCCCTTTTTTTTTTTTTTTTTTTTTTTGAGACAGAGTCACTCTGTTGCCCGGGCTGGAGTGCAGTGGCTCAATCTCAGCTCACTGCAATCTCTGCCTCATGGTTCAAGCAATTCTTCTGCATTAGCCTCCTGGGTAGCTGGATTACAGGCACCCGCCACCATGCCTGGCTAATTTTTGTATTTTTAGTAGAGGCAGGGTTTCGCCATGTTGGCCAGGCTGGTCTCAAACTCCTGAACTCAGGTGATCCACCTGCCTTGATCTCCCAAAGTGCTGGGATGACAGGCATGAGCCACCGCGCCCAGCCCGATCTTCCCTTTTTACAGATGAACACTGAGGGCTGCCTTCCTCTCAGTCCAGTCCCTCCAGTGCCCCTCTCCTGACTCCCTGCCCAGTGCTCTTTCTACACATGGCACTCTCCCACCCCTCCAGCCCCTACCCCAGCAAAGGAAAACAATCAATGTGAGTCCAGGTCCTCACCTGTCATCCAGGTACCCGCCCATCATGTCATGGCACAACAAAGTCCGGGGCCTCTGGCTGCTCAGAGGGGGCTGGCGACACGCCAGGGGCTCCAGGGCCACGTTAAAGCCATCCTCCATGTGGGGCGTCCATGCCAAGAGCTCCTCCAGCGAAGACAAGTAAAAGCTGATGGGTTTAGTGGTGTCCTTGTCATAATATCTAACTGGTCCGAGGACAGAAACATCGAGGAATGAATGGAAATTATTATAGGATTAATGGAAACGCTTTGATAATAACAGAGAAGGAACATGAGAGGGGGTGGGGGCTGACCTGCCCCGAAGCCCCAGGCGTGAAGGTGGAGTCAGTATTCAGAGCCTCCGTCTCCTCACCTGGCAGGGGGTCCGAGGAAAAACTGACCACTTCTCGAAAAACTGTCTCTTCTTCATCATCTTTGATTCTAAGCAAAGAAGGAGTTGTAAATTTATAAATTTTTTTTAAAAATAGACTTAGAAGCAAATGGACAAGTTTCACCTAAAGATGGAGGCAGAGAGATTATCTGGCTGACGCTTTTAATATTAACTATAGAAACATTGTATAAAGCAATGAAGTAGCTCTAACAGTCCTGAGGTCGCCTGTATTAGCCACCAGAGCTTGGCTTCTGCATGGACACGTGGCAATGATTACTCCAAAGAATAAAGCTTGCCCTAGGCCAGACGCAGTGGCTCACGCCTGTAATCCCAACACTGTGGGAGGCCAAGGTGGTTGGATCACCTGAGGTCAGGAGTTTAAGACCAGCCTGGCCAACATGGCAAAACCCTGTCTCTACCAAAAATACAAAACTTAGTGAGGCATGATGGCACACGCCTGTAATCCCAGCACCTTGGGAGGCTGAGGCAGGAGAATCTCGAAGGTTGCAGTGAGCCAAGATTTCGCCACTGCACTCCAACCTGGGTGACAGAGCGAGATTCTGTTTCAAAAATAATAAATAGAATAAACCTAACCCTCTAAAGCAGCCACCCAAATATTACACTCCAAAGACCAGACATATACACTTCACAGGGTCCCCAGGATTTGCTATGGCCAAAGGGCAATATCCAAATACGCAAAGTACAGAAAGTTTCAGGTCGTAAGACAGCAGGGGCCAGGCTTTCCACCTTCCCTCCGCGCCTTCCATGCTGTTCATGCATGGATGTTACAGAGACAAAGAGTTCCTTCCGCACATTAACGTGGAACGTCCCTGAATACATCTCAAACCACTTCCTGTTAAAAATTTATTTTATTTATTTTTTATTTTTATTTTTTATTATTGTTTGTTTGTTTGTTTTGAGATAGAGTCTCGCTCTGTTGCCAGGCGCCCGGCTGGAGTGCGGTGGCGAGATCTTGGCTCACTGCAACCTCCACTTCCCAGGTTCAAGTGAGTCTCCTGCCTCAGCCTCCGGAGTATTTGGGATTACGGGTGTCTCCCACCACACCTGACTAATTTTGTCTTTTTAGTAGAGACAGCGTTTCATCATGTTGGACAGGCTGCCCACAAAATCCGGAACTCAAGTGATCCACCCACCTTTTTAGGCCAGGCGTGGTAGCTCATGCCTGGGATTACA